ACCAGTTATACTGGATTAAGACCCACCCTATTAACCCCACTGTAACTTAATTATCTTTGTAAATATCCTTTCTCCAAATAAGGTTCCATTCTAAGGTACAGGAAGTTAGGACTTCAACGTATGAAACTGAGGGGCAGAGCATAATTCAACCCATATCAGTAACCTAACCCTGAATGATTTTTTTACTAGATGAACCAAACCCATTTGTATGCACTGATGTGACTGATAAAGTTTTTTTTTTATAGTTCTCTACTTTCATTATGTTCTGCTTTCTATTTTCACAATTTAAAAAAAAATATTTTACTATGTAGTTTGCTTTATTTTTCTTTCCTTTGGTGTGCAATTTTTTTTTTTTTTGGTGGTTAACTGTATAATTACATGTCTCTTTATTTCTTTTCCATCTGTAATAAATCCATGTGAGCAATAACTAAAGCCAGCATTATTTCTTCTTCTTCCCTTTCTCCTCCAATACCCAATACTAGTCAATAGTATTATCTTTCTTAGAGTTTACTCTTTGCTACTAAACATATTTATACTTCTATTTGATTTGGGAGCTTTGACTGATAAGCCGACTCCCGCATGAGACATTTTGCAACCAGTGAATTCACTCAACCTCACCTGCCTTCCCTCTCCCCTCGATAGTCACTTGTATCATGTCTATGTTGTGAGGACATATAATGTTAACCTTCTGTTCTGTCACCAACACTTACATTTATTTTTTTTTAATATTTTTTAGATGTCAATGGACCTTTATTTTATTTATTTATATGTGATGCTGAGAATCAACCCCAGTGCCTCACACATGCTAGGCAAGTGCTCTACCACTAAGCCACAATCCCAGCTCCCTTTACATTTCTTTCTCTCTTAGTTTTGTAGTTTAAATATATTCAAAACTCACAAGCCTTCCCAGTGATCTTTTGGTCAGATAAAATTAATTATTTAATAGTCTCCTCAAGGGCTGGGATAAAGAATTTGCCTACAGTTTTTAAACACAGTCTAAACATGGCACAAGTGGATTATGATATGATCTCACTTAATCATGAAACCTGGCTTTATAGCTGACATATATTCTTAACCCCATAGCCTTAGAACAAATTTGATTAGAAAAGTGAGGTCATTAATTTAGTAGATTTGTGCAAACAATATGTGCAAACCCCCAAATGTTAAAAACATACATACACAGACAACTCTGGATACCACAGCTAAAAGCACATGCTCAACATATTCTCAAAAGAGAAGTAATCATTCTGTTTATTCGAATGAAACTGACAACCACAGCTGTGGTCCTTTGGTGCTATCCCAAGACTAGAGATTCAAAAATCTCTCTAAATATAACAGAGCAACCTGCATTTTCACTCCTCAGGCAATTCTATGCAAATGAAAGTGTGAAAACACTGTCCCAGACAGATGCTATGTCATGTAATGAATGACTTACCTGCATTATTTTATTTAGTCATCATGAAAGCCTGGGGGGGGGAAGTTATTCAAAGATTTTTATCAATGAGATATCTGCAACCTAGAGAGATTGAGAAACATGCAGATGGCCACAACACTAGGAAGCAGGAGCTGATATTCCAATATACAAACCCAGTTCTGACTGACTCAAACATCAAAGCTGCTAACTATTTTATAAGAGGGCCAGGATCTCTAAGATGTTTAGAACACCTTAGATTTGGGGGTTAGAGAGGAGGAGAAAGATATAGATAATAAGACTGACTGATTTTATCTCAAAAGGAGGCTCAGTGATAGAAAACTTGTTTACTATGAATGAGACCTGGGTTGGATTCCCAGCACCAAAAAAGAGAGAGACAAGACAGACTAGCTGCAGGAAGATGTAAGAGCTTCAAATTTATCAGGTATCATCACAGATTAGAGCTATGTAGACCAGTACAATTCCACAGGGCCCATGCCCCACATTCAGAAGGGCTCAACTTGTGGTTTAATGCTCCATGGCTGCCATGTTGAAATTCTTCATAATTTTATCATGAGATCTCTATTTTGCAAGGGAAGTCTACTGGAGTAATGGAGTATGTGCCAGGTGTTTGGAGTCTTCTATACAGCCTACCATACCCCCCACATGGGCTCCTGGTCACTCCCTTCCCCCTCTCCTCACTCTCACCACCTCCCCACTCCTACCTCTGGAGGACAGCTCCCCAGCAGAGGCCTGAGTGAAGGCAAGGGGAGGAGAGGGAGTATGGAAGGAGGGGCAAGGAGCAGCCACCTCAGTAGGGGTGAGCAAGAGGCATGGAGATTGCAATGCTCGTCGAGGTCACATGTCCACTGTGTGTTGGGACAGAGGGTCCATGGACAGTGTGGAGGCCTGCCTCAAGCTCCCCACTCCTATGGCCACAGATCAGTAAATTGCAAGTGCCTAGAGAAAAGGGAAACCCAACAGCTGTGACCAGAAAGCACACGAGGTCACAGAGTGGGGCCTCTGGGCACCTGGGAGGAACTGTACTTGCCACTCTTGACTAGGCAGCATGACATTACACAGCAAACAAAAGTACCTCAATAGACTGAATGAGAAATTGTGAAAAAAAGAAAACAAATTTCTATTTTTATACTTTAATGGTACTTTTCTGTGCTTTTTGAACAAGGAGTCCCACATTTTCATTCCACACTGTTCTCCCAAATCTGTGTGACCCTTCCTGGACATAGGAGACTTAAGGGTTTGCGGGGGGATTATATGCCTACAAACTTGGGGGAAGATAACCCTGCCCTTCTACCAAAGGTCACTTGGCACCATGATCACGGTCAGGCCGTTGGATAATCATTCAAACTCGCAGACAATGTGCCAGAATTCTCCAAGTTGTGCTCTTCCTACAGCAGTCAGCCAACCTGTTTTTATTTTCATTATTATTTTTTTTACCTTCTTATTTATTTATTTTTATATAGTGCTGGGGATAGGAACCCAGTGCCTCACATGTGCTAGGCAAGCGCTCTACCACTGAGCTACACCCACAGCCCAGACAACCTGTTTTAATATCACAGATCAGACCAAAGAACCACAAAGAATGCAAGGAAAAACAGCTCACACTTTCGCTGCATTTATATTTAAAACATAAGGCCTCTGTTTTAATCATGTAAAAACTTCCAGAGGCATCACCTTGGAAACGAAGAGACTACGATCATTACAATGAACTAGAAGCAAATAAGCTCCAGTGAAGTCAACCTAGCTAGTAACTTTCTAGTACCTTTACAGGGGAAATTTCTCCAGTAACCATGATAAGCATAAGGCAAGTGAGATAGAATGTCCACTGCAGGACATCTAAAGGATGTCCTGCACAAAATTTGTATAAAAAACTGATTTTATTATTCATTTAGAATACTGCATACCTAATGCATTTACAGGGAAATACCTATGAGCTCTAACAGCAATAAAAAATGCACCTTGGGGCTGGGGTCTAAATCAGGAGACAGCACATGCTGAGTGTGCATAAGGCCCTAGGTTCATTTCCCAGCACCAAAAAAGAAAAGAAAACCCGAATAATTCCCTGCACATCTGTTTTGTTCAAAGAGAGAGAAAATGTCTTACTGCAGTAAATCAATACACTAAATGAAAACATGAGGTATTTTTTTCTAAATATTTTCTTCCTTTAAATACCATAGAATATGTGTCCCTTGAGATTGGAACATGGAAATCTAAAATTATCCCTCAAAGCTACCAAGAGCTTTTTCGGAAGTTCCATTCATTATTTTCTTCTTCCTTGCAGAGATGTTAAAAAAAAAAAATAGATGGTGCTTTTATATATTTTTCCCAAGAAAAAATACAATTGTTTACAAGATAGAGAGGAAACCCTTAGAGAATTTTGGTAGGAATGAAGACGATAAACAAGAGTAGATACTTGAATTAAGAGTTGTAAAATAAACCAGGCTTGGTGGCACATCCCAGCAGCTGGGGAGGTTGAGACAGGAGGATCACAAGTTCAAAACCAGCCTCAGCAATGGAGAGGCACTAAACAACTCAGTGAGACCCTGTCTCTAAGTAAAATACAAAATAGGGCTGGGGATGTGGCTCAGTGGTTGAGTGCGCCTGAGTTCAATCCCCTTCCTCCAAAAAATAGAGTTCTAAGTTAAGAAACAGACACTACTAATGGTTAGCCTCACAAAAACCCAAAAAGGAGGAGAATTTTCCTTAACACTATCAGATGACATCTTAGAAGCCTGGATAATGAAGCTTTGCAGAAAAATGAAAAAGGGGAAATGAATCATCTAATATACGAACACACAATTCTTCTCAAAGGATGTCATGCTTCTGCTCTTGTTTAGGCAGGAGCAAGAGACAACTTGGGCAAGATCTGCAGAGACAGAGTAGATACATGGCTGCGGTGACTGCTTTACTTGCTTCCCTCTCTGGGCTGAAGGTTTCTGGTTCTCCCTTCTCCTCTCCCCTCTGTTCTTCAGGATGGGGTGGGGAGCAGGGGAGGCAGTCTCTCCTCTGCCCTCCCCTGCTTTCCTCTCCCTACTCCTAAGTGGGAGACTGGAACCCCTACCTGATTGGGCATCTGGTCTCTTTTATTTCTCTATATCTTCATTTCTAACTCTCTTGACCTTTCACCTTGCAATTCTTTTCTTCTTTAATCATGCATTCATCTAATTATTACAGCTCCCAGAATACACAGACATTTTAAGCAAACAGGTCCTGTTTCTTCATGGGCATAAATCCTTATTCTTTACCTTTGTGGAGTCCCACCCAGGCCTTATCTGTATTGCTCTATATCTCCTGAAACTGAAAGAGGCACAGACTTGGACAGGGTGTTATCTAATCAAGACTGTTTGTCACAAACAACTTTGGAGTTTTAACAAGCTGCTCTAGAACATACCCGCCTTCTTTCAGTGGCTACTGTTTGGGTTCATTCACAATATCTGTGTTCTCTCTGAGAAACCACCTTCAGGTACCAGGCAGGGCAAAAACTGAGTCTCAAAATCCAGAGAGCAGAGTCTGACTGCAGCCTGAGAAGGTGGTGGTGGCAATCACACCAAGAAAGGGACATTCATACCTTTGTAATCGCAGTGAAGACTTTTTCCAGAATGGCATTGGGCTGGGCAATTTGTGGTCCATTGGCCTGAATATTGAGGGCGATGGCACATGGTTTGGCTACAAATCTGAAAATGAAGAGAGAAAGTCAGAAGTTATTCTTTCTATGGCAGTTCTTAATGCCACCAGTTAAACATTACTCAATTATGTCAATAAACTGCCAGCAGGATTTTATGGGGGTACATTTTCAGCATTTACCAGGGTAACTACAATATAGACTTAACTGTTTTTCTTTTCTTTAGTCCCCCAACAGTAACTCTAAAGAAGAAATCTTTTTAAAACATTTAGGCTAGGTGTGGTCGCGAATACCTGGTCCCAGCTACTCAGGAGGCTGAGGCAAGAGGATCACTTGAGCTTCTGAACTCAAGACCAGCCTGGGCGACCCCATCTCCAAAAGAAAACTAAATAAACAGAACATTTAACACCCGCCCCCCCCCCCATTTTCCAGTTCTCATGAGAATCAACAGATCAAAAGACTACCAGATAAAAATTTAAGTACATAAATGAAACATAAACAAAACAAACTATGATTTTTAAATGACTCACAGCCTTCTTTCTAACACGTTATCAATAGTCATCTTATATTTTTATTATAAGAAATCATTTACCAAGCACCTGACTACACCTGCAGAAAGAGCACTTTTGATCACCCCTAGTCATAAACGTGGCCATTTGTGTCACTATAATCAAAGTGTGCTGTATTCAACCCCCATCTCAGCTTTATGGTTATTTATGGCTTTCTCACAAGGGGTAGTGAAGGACGTCAGATGGCACGATGCCCTTGACAAGTTGAAAGTGTGAAGTGTTTATGCCTTTTCATCCTAAGCACATGCTCATGTCAACAAGAGTGTGAGCCTCATTTCTGGCCATTTTTGTGAATGAAGCATGGAAGGAAACTCGGTGAAAAGTGCCTGGGGCCCCTGAGGTACGATGACATCACTAACAAAACCGTGGAGAGGAAAAAGCATTCACAACTTGAGAGTCGTTTTAGACTAAATTCATGAAATAAGCTTCCCTAAATACTCATTTCAGTAGCTGACCTGGACTTTTTCTACTAACATGAACTAATTTAAGGTTATATAAAAGGTGACCCAGCTGTAAAGCAACAACAGATAAACGTACAAAATGGATCATGAGTAAATTTTACATGAGACTTCTTTATTAGTACTCAATGAGATTAAAGAACGTTAGACAAAAGAGAATTTTTTAATTTAATGGTATAATGAGGCCGCAGTACACAGTACGATATAATATACTGGGTCCTATTCAAGCAAAGTGAAAACACTTATTTAAATATGAAAATAAGAACATTATGAATGTGTGAGCTTAAACCAGGAAAGGTATACACAGAAAATGCAATGTAATACCTGTTTACTGGGCTCTTTACAACAAAGGTGGGAAGAATTTATAAATCTTTTAGAAACTGGATTATTCTTAAAATGAGGTATTCTTAATTCTTTTTAATGAAAGTCTTTTTGTGGGACACATTACCTATATCCCTATCTTCCTGATAGGAAGTACATTCTTTTCCCAATAGCCCCAAATTTTCACTATGAACAATAATCATGGAGCGAAGGTGGTAGCTACAGTGGCAATGGAAATGAAATTTAATGGGTAGTGAGCATAGCAGAGCCCAGAAACTATTTCCTTAACAAACTTCCTGCTGTTTGGTTATTTGCCTTCTCATCATAATGTATAATGAGAGGTGTGAAAAGGTTTGAAGGCCAGCAAAAAATGAAAAAATTAAGTAATGACTAGTTTGGTATATAAATAAATAAATAAATAAAAAGCCAAAAATCAACTCTTCCAATGGTTTGCTTCTACCCATACAAGGTGGCTTCTTCTCAACCCTCCTCATCATCCCCATTCCCTTATCTTTGACACTGTGTTCAAATTCCCTTTGGGGCTTTGTCATCATCATCCTTGTAACAACCTGGTGATTTTGACCCTAAGAAAATGCCTATGTCAGCAAGAACAGGGGCAGGGTCCTCTTTCTTCTTCTAAAAAGCAAAGTGTCTAACAATGATTGAACATTTCATCTTTGTAAACCCCAGGCAGAGCAGGGCACACTTTTTTTCCAGAAAGGTCAATGCCATGATCAACTCCCCATTCTGATTTACTGGTGAGGCTGAGTCCCAAATTCTGGAGATTTGGGGAAAAGGTATGTGTATATGTCAGGAGAGATGAACAAGTTTAAGAGAATTGAACTCAAGGCAAAGTTTGAAGACCTTTAAAATTTAAATGACCCCTGGTGTATATGCACAATAAATCAAACCATCTGAATTCTTTGCAAGAAGTTACCATATCATAGGATGTTTCTACTTACAAGTCTGTAACGCAGCAGACATTCGATAATACTTGAAGGATGAATAAGTGAACATTTCAGCTAAAATACAACCATAGGTAGGTACCTTACAACTTTCCCAAAGGAACCATGTGTTTTAACTCCCTTGAATATCACACCTGCACAGTGTCATCTGGACTTCAGAAAGTAAGACACCAACCAATTCAATACCAGATGCCATTTCTATAATCCCCAAGTTCCTGTAATGTCCAAGAGTACCTGTGCAGGCACGGCCATGCCTCACTAGGTACTCTTTCCAAATTATCCAGTACAGAAAACCAAATACTCAGTTTCTAGGACTTAGAAAACTGCATACCATGGGAGAAAAAGTTGATCTCAAATCCCCAATGAGAGGAAAAAAGAAGAGAAGGGTATATAACTCTTCCTATTAGGTATGCTTGATTATATGAAAATATAGATGTTTTATGTGTGTTTACTTATCAAATAATTTAATGCATCCTAGCATTGTTTTTTCCCCTCAAACAGCATATTAGATTTCAAATAAAATCAAGTGCAATGGTACATGCCTATCATCCCAGCAACTAGGGAGGCTGAGGCAGGACGATGGCAAGTTTAAGGCCAGCCTCAGCATCTTAGTGAGATCCTGTCTCAAAATAAAAAGTGCTGGGGGTTGGTTCAGTAATAGAGGGCCTCTGGGTTCAATCCCCAGTACTGGAAGAAAAAGAAAATATTCAAATAAAACCTATGTTGCGACAGAATGTTATCATATTCTGTCATGGTCCATTTGAGAAAGATGGATTTTTTTTTTTTTTAATGTTGGCCCTACTAGAAATAAGTTCACAAAAATTGTCTGTCAGAATGGTTGGAAAGAATTCTACTGTCATATATAACTAATTAGAACAATTTTTTAAAAATTAAAGGAAAAACAGAATGGTTGGAGAGAGAAAGAGAGAGAGATGGAGAAACAGATGGGTGATGAACCTACCTACACATACCAAGTTGTAAAGAGTGTGCACTTTGAAGCTTTGATGATTACCTCCACCAGGAAGTGCCCACTTAATTACGTTTTTTTATCAAAGGCAGCAACACTACCTTCAAAAGATCAAACATCTGTAAAGTACTTTCATGTGCTGTATTTGAAAGTAAATATAATAAGGATGCAAACTTTGAAAAATACTGGTCTTGGTTAAAAAGCAGAGAAAACATCTAAAACATCCCTACTTTCCAATTCTACTGAACAATGTGTATTTGTATTTTATATATGAATTGAAGGTCTCTGTACAACATACTGAAGCAATCCCCAGGCAGTGCTCTGGGGAGAGGAATACACAAAACATGAAGTGACCTCAACATTCAAAGACATTTGCAACCTGGGCAAGGAGATTGAAATAATAATATTACTATTATTACTATTATTATTATTATTATTATTATTATTATTATTATTAATGGGGTATGTGTTGCTGTTCTAATCACTTAAAAAAAAACAGTCTATGATTTTCAGTAGGTAACATGGCTGGAAATTGTTAGTCCTTTCCAACTGTAACATTTCCTGCACTTTTCAGATGGTTGGTAGGATGATGTGGACATAAAATCCTATACATGACAAAATTGCACAGTGGTAAATCAATCGCTCTCTCCCCTTTCTCTCTCTCTCTCTCTCTCTCTCTCTCTCTCTCTCTTTCTCTCTCTCTCTCTCACATACACACACAAACACACAGACACACACACACACACACACATAAATACAAGTAACAACTGCAGAAATCTGAATACTATCAGTAAATTGTATCAGTGTCACTATCCTGGTTGTGACATCAAACTAAAGTTTTGTAAAATGTTATCATCAGGAGTCACTGGGTGAAGTGAATGTGAGATCTCCCTATATCAGTTCTTACCACAGTATGTGCATTTGCGATTATCTCAATAAAGATTTCAATGAAAAAATCCCTGGAAGGGAAGTTCTGTTATTGTTGAAAACTCTTCACAAACTCTATTCAAACTGCACAATACAACTACTTCATCATTCACTTGCACACACACCCCCACCCCACAAAACAAGCCGCAAAACAGTTACTACTCAAGGGCTCTGGAAACTCAATAAAAGCAAAGAGACTAAAAAGGAGGCGGGAGTCAAGAATGGAGCCAGCAACCAGCAACGAAAGCACTCCCTGCCTGCTCACTCATGGATTTATTCTGCAGCTCTACCCTGAGATCAGACAGTCACGGTGGCAGGTACAGCTTTGATAGACGAACATACTCTCTTTCTAGTTGTAGGAACCAGGAAAGGAGGCTGGGGGAAGCAGAAAGAGACCAGAGAACCACAGAAAGAAAAGGCCAGAGAAGCAAACCCTAGGTCTGGGTGGGTATAGACCAGGCATGACTCTGGCTGACTTCGGAACCATGAATGTACAAGGGAAACCAATGGCAACCAATAGCTAAGGTTTCAGGAACTGATCTCAGACTTGAACGCACTGTCCACTGCAGGCAGGACAGGCTGCAGCGTGAGTCTAAGTAAATTGCCTCCCAATAGAAACATCAGTGTGTTCCAAAACAATGGAAAGAGTCCAAATTGTCCACAATATAACTTTTTCCATGTCCAGGACACAGTCAGGTATGCTGATAAAGAGCCAAGAAAAGACAATCCACTCTTAGGGGACTAACCATGCAAAAGAAAAATTCAGTGAACCGGAACCACACAATCTGAAAAAGAAGAAGAAAGAGAAAAATGGAAAAACAAACAAACATACTTTGAGGACCTGT